GAAACCTAAGGAGGGGTCGCTATGAGTCGGGTCTGACTCCATGATACATAACAACAACAACATGGCTAGAAGGACCATATTAAGCAATTCACTGCATTGCACTTCCTTAACTAATGTTATACTTTAAAATCTTTTTCATTATTTCTTAATATAAAATGCTGCATTTGCCACACTTAACTCCACTTTAAAATATTATTTTTCACAGGTGAAAGAAGCCTTTAATAACCAAAAATTAGAATCCCTACATCTGCCTAACACTGTTTTCAGGAGAATATGTGTATTAAAGAAGACATAAATGGAAAGACTCCTTAAAAAACTCACTAGAAGGAACCACACTTAGTTCATCTCAAAGCAAAGCAAAATAAAACTGTGGCCCTTGTCTATACTGTCCAACCCATGAGAGGACTAAAACTCCAATCCAATGACTTGAAAATCAGTAACGACAACATCTGGAGTGGAAAGCTTTTCCCAAGATCTCAGAACCAGGCTTGTATAACACATGGCTCTTAACCAAGCTGAACTTTACTTAAATAAGTTTTACTATTATTTGTTCTCATGCAAATAATCATATTTTTTTTCCAATTTACATCATACTAATAGCTGTTCTTTTTATAATTGCCTTGGTGTATTATTTTAACATTATCCTTTGCTTTGTCATTTTATTTTTTTCCCTGAAATTATTTTATCCCAGCTATTATTTTGATAACTGATTTTAGTACATTATAAAGTTAGTCTGTACCTTAACTGACACCTGTTGTTGCTTCTAAGTAAATATTAGCAGCTCTAATAACTGGTTTTGTATTTTCAGTTGGTTACCCCACAGCATCAAATTTTAAGTCAACTTTATTGTGAAAATTAGACTAGTTATTCTCCTTTTTACTGTCATTTTCTTTTGCCTAACCAAATGGCTCTGCATCCCTGAACAAGATAACTTTTCTCTGATATTTTAAATTATTTCCAAAACATATTAGCTCTTGGCTGTGCTCTACAACTCAAACTAGAAATCAGTGGCTTTATTGTTTATTATTGTAATGAAATATTTACTCAAAGGAATTTGACCCCACACCTTAGTTAAAGGTGTCTAGTCTATCAATTTGTTCCTTCCTCTTCAACCTTAACTGTATTCACATCTCCATAATGACAAGATGACTAAAGCAGGGTATTTAAACAATGTCATGGTGAAGAAACATAGTGAAATGGTGCTGAGCTACCGTTTGCTTAGTCTTAAAAACTTGCAAATAAAAAGCTGCCATTTATAATGCTACACAAAGAAACCCTTGTGGGAAATGGGTTACTCCTTTGTGGAGGACATGAGAGCAGCTCACCCCAAAGAAGAGGCCCTACAAATAGCAGAGTAACCATCTCAACTCTAGATAAACAAAGTCCATGCAGAAGGAAGTACTTCTATATGTGATCATCAAATTTCCAGAGAAATACTTGATCAAAATGGGATATTAGAAAGAGCCCTTCAAAACTAAGGCTTTTTATATGACTGAAACTTCTACCTAAGGTCTATGCCAAATTCTGCCTTATCCTAAGTGACTCCATTTTGTATTTTTCTGTCAAACAATACAGTCATTTCTTTAAAAATTTTCCACTGAGCCTTTGACCTAGACACAAAGCATCTACAAAAATAAATAAATAAATACATTTGTGCCCACCTTGCTCTGTTTATTTCAAATTTGTGGTTAAAAATGGCTGAAGTTAAGAAGAGATTATTTAACATGTACAAGTGTTAAACATGGTGTTAAACATGAGACTTTAGTGGCTAAGCTAAACCCTTATATCATCCCTAAGGAGATATCTTCTGACCCCTTTTTCCAGCACTCTGTGTTTAGGAATAACTGTAATTTAAAATGTTCCAGGAAATTTGTCAGCCATGTCCTGTCACCAGAAGCCCCTTCTTTGCAAAGGAGGTAAAAGCCTGCAAGAGTTGTCAACCAACATCCCGCCAGCTGCAACTTTGTGAATGTTAACCAATCAGAAATATCCCAGTTGTACTTCCTTACTTGCAGTTTTTGCCTTTATCAACTTCTGTAATTCTGTAGCTCCTTGGAGCACTTTGTCAAGGGCTTCCTGAATGTGTGTTTCCCTGTTTTTAAAAACTCTTTGTTTTTAATTTTAAACTGGTTTGTGGCCTTTTCACTACAACCTGTTAAATGGAAGAGAGGTCAATATTAATTATAAGTTAAGTTTTAGGGTGAGAATAAGGCCATTTAAACAGTCTTGTGCTAGACAATAGTGTTCAGGTAGAAAACACTTCCAAAACTATTTGGAGGGCCTCCTTATAGGTTGAGATGTAATTAAGCAAACAAGCAAAACCACTCAGAAACTTCCCTCAGAAAATCAGGATACATTGTAGTAGTTCCTGGCCAGGCTTGCTTCTTTGGAACTTCTAATAGTCCCAAAGGGCACAGCAAGAAATGAAATGCAGATGTACATGAGGTAGGGCAAAAAGTTCCTGTTATGGTAGTAAATTGGATTCTTGAGGACTGAAGTGCTCACTCAAAGCCAAAAGGTAGCAAGTCATTGGTTCTGGTCTTCACTGATGTGGAAGATTTCTCATTCTATGTGGGCTGCTGAGACCATAAAAGTCTCAGCGGGCCTCTATGAGGAACAAGGAAGGCACTGTGAAGTTGTGTTTACTCATCCCATCATATATTCATGATCTCGTGTATAATTTTTTTCATAAGGTGTTTGTTCATTTGTGGTAAAAGAAAGTAAAACTAACTTTAGCTAACTTTGAGTTGTTATTCTCACCAGTCCTCAAACCTGGTGTTGGTAGTCTGGCATCCACCATAAAGCTTTCGAAACACCACATTAGTAAGTATAATAAATTTATTTCTTAAAAAACTATCAATCAAAACATTTTAGCATATTCATTCTCATTTTCTAAACAATGAAATTGCTATCTTCTACACTCAATTCTTAAGAATCCTAAAAATTACAAAAGTAAATAAATACTGTATTTAAATAAGGAAGAAAATTAAAAACTTGAAATTTTATGGTAGATGAAATACTATATAAAAGAAATAACCTGGCGTATTTATGGAAACATTGTTGACGCAACTCACCAAAATTCATACTCATTTTATTCCTTAATTTACACATTACCCGGGTGGGGGAAAAAGTATTATTTACCCTTTCCATTTCTTTATGCTAAAGTTTTAAAGTACATATACTTACAGAGGGATATCACTTAGATGTTATAAAGACCAAGATAGGTGCCTGACCAGGTCAAATCTAGAGTCAAAGATGCTGTGATGATTCCAAAATATGATTTGAAAACAAACTTAAAATGTGAATTAGGTCACACCCCTGGTCCATCTAAATTGTATCCTGTTTCTGATTGTGACAGCAGAGAAAGGTCCTTGGAAGCTATAACTGACTTTCATGATATCTCCCCAAAATGTATAACACCCTTCCACACATATCTCAACATTCCCAGTTTCCCTTAACAACCTGAATAAGTTAGTTACCTATATATTGATTCAAATCTTTTATCTGTCTAAAACTGAACTTAAACTTTCATATTGATCCGTATGTGCAAATGTGCAATAATACATTTGTTAAGTTTACTACTACACAGGTAGTGTGTCTTTATTTGTTCCAAAGTACTTTTCAAAAAATTAAGAAAAGTATCCCACAGGCCATTTCAAAGATCAAGATATTCCTTGAATATTAGAATATGAAGAGATCCAAGATGGGATTACAACATACAGTAATAGATTAAAAATATGTATGGTAAACCATGATTTAACTCAAAATATACAATGCAATCTACTTTTGCAACTTTCAAAAGATTTATTAAAAATGCTAATTGTGTGTGGGTTCAAGTTTTATGGTGAGTACCTTCTTTCTCTCCTATACCTCTGTGACTGCAAATTCAACTTCGTTTTGGAGATAACGCCAAATGCTAACGCCTTTAGCATCTTCATGAATGTGCTGCTCAAGCTAAAAGTCCCCTCCTGGCTTTCTTGATAAACTCTGATATGTAGTTTCAAGTAATCTGAAATTTGGTGACAAAGTTTCTGGCTTTCTGTTTTTTAGTTTTCATAATTTATAACCATTAATAGTAAAACTTAAGTATTTAATTATTTATTTTAGGCAGAGATGAAGATTGGAGAAAGTGATGAGCTGGAAGGATACATATGAAACACATTTTATGGCCTGGCTATATTTTGCTAGAAGTAAAACTAGTTGGATAAACTTAAAAATACTAAGCAATGTATATTCTTTTTTATATATATAAAAGAAGCAAAATAATGGCATAATATGAAGCAATGTAGAAGGCCTGTGTGGAGGCTGAACTTTGAATGTGTATATCCACATATACTCATTATTTAGGAAGTTTACTTTTAAATCATCATAGCATCATACATCTGCTGCTGGAGGCAATAGCTGAGAGTCGGCAGCTGTACTGGCTGATTTCTTCAGACATCTTACTGGTTAGACAAAATATCCAGAACTCTGACTTGAGCTTTGCTGGCATTATTCATTCTCTTTAGCCTGCTTGATCTACTCTCTACTGATCATTTAAATATTAACTAGTAGCCAGCTCCTCAGAGTGTTAAGATTCTTCTCCAGCCACTTAATATTATTGGTTATGGTTTCCAGAACAATTTGAAAAATATCCAGGTGTGATCCCTGGGCCTTAAGGGATTCAAAGAACAGCTTCACCTGAAAAATATAGAAAAAGGAATTACTGGCATGCTTCATAAAACACTTTATCTTCCAAAGGGTTTCAAAACAGCTTGGAAATTATATACACATAGGTGCAAACATTTCTCTGATGGTCTCTGAAGTTTTTTTCTTCCTCTTTTTTTTCATAATTACGATCTCACTTTATCTTGAAACAACAAAGTAAGGCAGGAATTATGAATTAATATTTTACAAGTGAGCACACTGTGGGCAGAAAGTGAAGTGTTTTACCCAAGTCATAGAGTAAGTGGTAAGCTGGGATCTGAGTCCTGGAATTCTTACTTTGTTTAAAGGATAAATGAATTAGAGGTTTATTATGGAAAGAAGATGTAAAATAGTAGAATGCTTTTTTTTTTTTTTTTTTTTAAATGGGGAGTATTGGAAACACTGAAAAAAAATGTTAAAAAAAAAAAAAAAAAGGCTTGTAAACATAGTTCCAAATTTCAATGTAATCACTCTTACTTCAGGTTACCATATGAATGAAATAATATAAAAAGACTATTTATTATCACTAAAGTGTACTTTTATTTTGAATGCTATAAACACATGCATTTGAACAGTCAGGTTCTAGTCTTATTCCTGCCATTTACTTGCTATGTGACATTAGACAAAAACCAAAAACCAAACTCACTGCTGATGAATCAATTTGACTCATAGCAACTCCTCCTTGGGTTTCCAAGGTGATATCTCCATGTAAGTAGATAGACCAACCTTCCTTCCAAAGAGTGGCTGGTGGGTTTGAAACGCCAGGCCTCTGGTTAGCAGTCAAATGCCTTAGGCACTATGCCACCAGAGCTCCCTAAACAAGCCACTTTTTTCTTTCCTTTAATAAAACAAGAACTTCAAACTTATCTCACCTAAATTTACTTTCAATTCTACAATTTGAAATTTTATTTTTAAATAATTACCAACAGAATGTCACAAACCTCTTGCAACTCATCCTTGGAAGAAAAGTGAGATGTTGTACCAGAGATAATCATCCTCATGACAAATGAACCCAAGTCAAATCTGGAAATAAAAGAGTCCCACAGATTTAAGAAATACTGGCTGTATGCTTATTATATTCTATTGTATTATATTATATTATATTATTTTAAATATATAATACTATAGGAGCTCTGGTAGCATAGTGCCTAAGTCACTTGACTGCTAACCAGAAGGCTGGCGGTTCAAACCCACCAGCCACTCCTCGGAAGGAAGATTGGGCAATCTACTTCTGTAGTGATATGCCTTGGAAACCCAAGGAGAGGTCGCTACGAGTTGAAATCAACTTGATGGCAGTGAGTTTTGTTTTTTTTTTTTTTTTGGTACTATTACAACAACACATATTTATCCAGTACAATCACAAAGCTATGACATTTATTAAATTTGATAATAAAATAAAGATGTAGATAAAGATTTTTTGGGGACATATTGTCAGCTTATTTAGTTGTTTAAAGCACTGTTTTATTTACATTTTTTAGATTATGCACCTCTATTAGTAAAGATGTTTTTGGAAAGAATTTCTCAGTATACAGATTTTTACATAAAAATTGTATCATATATCACTAATATGTTGTAGGTACAAACATTTTTAAGGCACAGGACAAGAAATAATATGAATAATATATTTAGTTTATATAAAAATTATATATGATTTTTATTTATAAAAATCTATACATAAATTTTTCGGAAGGAAGGTTAGACAATCTACTTCTGTAGTGATACCGCCTTGGAAACCCAAGGAGCGGTCGTTATGAGTCGGGTCCAACTTGACAGCACATAACAACAACAACAACATACGTAAATTTATAATAGATAATTTATAACACATAGGTAAGAAATAGCATATAGGGTAATGTTTTCTTCTTTCACTTAATGTATTGTCTTGCACCTTCTGCATCCCATTTGGACACCAATGTGTTGAAGTATTGTTTATCAGGGCAATGTTACTTGATTGAACTCTTATTCAAGGCGCCAACTGCATCCCTCACCTTGTTTTTTGCTTGTTTGTTTATTTTGGGTGAAAATATACATAACAAAACATACATCCATTCAACATTTTCCACATATTCAGTCCAATTGGTTACATCCTTTGCATTGTGTCATTATTCTCACTATCTCTACCCACACTGTTTCATCATCATTGACTTAGAATCTCTGTCCTCTAAACTTTTCCTCTGTATTTTAGAGTCAATTTGATCTCATACAAATCATTACTTAAAAGCCCACACTGCTAAAGGCAAACATTCTTTACTACTTGTGCTAAACTGTTGCTTAGTTTAAAGATGACTTCATAGACTAGTTTTGGTTCAAGGCTTACAAATTATCCCAGGGGAATAGATTTTGGGGATTCTCCCAGTATCAATGGGTCCAGTAAATCTGGTTTCTGTAAGAATTTTAAACTCTTTTCAGGTTTTTCCTAGATTTATTTTGTATCCATTTATTTCACACTGTTTTTTTTATAAAGCGAATTACCACAGGTCACAAGGGACTCATGCTGAGAGTGAGCACAGCACAGATACAGGTCAGCAAATGACTCCATCTCTAGGTTCCTACACATGTGGACAGAAGCATAATTTTCAGCGTGCTAGGAGATTCAAACATATTCTATTGAGATCCTTTTATTAAGTCTTAAACAAGACAAAGAAAAAACAAACATAGTTATTCCAGATGAAGGAAACTGTCAACCAGTACAGAGGCTGATGGATTCTGTGAGTCACAACTATGGTTTCATACATACAATAGAGAACAAAAGAAATCCTCACAAGATCATGATTGGTGTCAGGTCAATCCATTACTCTCACAGGTGGGATGACAGAAGTGGAGAAAGCACCATGATTGAGATACGTAGATAATTGTGAAGCTGAGACAAATGTTTTAACCACCCTAGTGGGTTTCTGTTTTTTCTTATCTAGCCTCCTCCATGCCCCTTGCTTAACCACTTTGTTAGCCTATTTTGCAGGGAAATATCAAATGTTCCAGGAAACTAAGGCCAGAGTAGAAATTAGAATCAGCCTAAACCAGATCAGATTAGTTTTGGCCTGTGGACATGCACATTGGGAAAAACAGAACCAAATTACTCAGAATCAACATCTCCTCCTCTGCCTAAGCCCCAATCAGTTGATGACAGGAAGTCAGTATAACTCATCCAGCATGCAAGTGCACTACTTTAAAAATTAACTGTTCATTTAAACTGAGGGGAATGAAATTTCAGCCAATCCCAAGCCATTTCATATGCAAATTCCTGGAATTTATATGAATATGTATAACTCCCTCTTCTTGAACCCCATAAATGTTGTAACTTAAACCCTGCTCAGGGAGTCAGATCTGGGCAAGTCCCCTGGCTCCTTGTGTTGTTGCTTTGCAATAAAACTATTTTCTCTTTCCTCAGAGTCTGGTGCAATGTGTCTCTTGGCATTACAGCACAGCAAGCAGGGACTCATTTTCTCTGGCAACAATATTGCACCCAACAAGGACTACTGGGTCCCCTCTAAGTGACATGCCCCCTTAGAGGGAATATTCTAAATGGTCCTCTGCTCTGAGCTTGGGGGCCCTTGGACAGCGGCGGTGATCATTGAATGGACCTTGGTGCACACCCATTTACTCTGTTTTGTCCAGAGGTATGTACTAAAGTGTCGAGCCCCATCCACAGTACCCTCAGTCTGAGATGCTTTCATTTCTGAGAAAGAGAAACTAGCCCAGTAAGAAGATGTCTTCTGGGCGATTACAAATTATATTCTTTGAACACATGAAAGGAAGCTATCTGGGAGGTTAAGGCTTAGCCAAGATCACTTCTACAGCTTAAAGACTTTTGTACTCTGATTTTTCTTAAGACATTTGTACTCCAATCTGGTCTGGTTCTGGTTTGTTTTCTGTGTGTGAGTGTTGCTGGTGCAAAGAGAGTTTTAAGTAGGACTGAATGTGAGATGTGTGTGTGTGGAAATGAGATATCAGAGCTCAGTGCCAGAATGCAGCCCTTTCAGCTGCATTCTGGAGAACTGGGCTCATTTCAGCTACGAGCCTGTAAAGAAGAAGAAAATGGCTTTCTTTTGTAACACTGCCTGTCCATAATATCAACTTGGACCATGTGAAAAGTGGCTACAGAATGGGAGTTTAAATTATGATATTATTTCACAGTTGGATGTATTCTGTAAGAAAGAGGAAGAGTGGGATAAAATCCCATATGTTCATACTTTTATGTCTTTGTTCCAAACTAAGAATTTGCAGTAACAGTGCAAGTTAATGGTTGTACAGCCTACAGATAAACCTGACTTTCAGGAAGTCTACCAATATTCAGAAGACCCATACCTTAGTCCCTTTTCTCCCCTGTTAGGGCCTCCACCCTACCCTCCAGAGTCGCAGGACCTCTACCCACAACCCCACAGGCTGTTCCTTGTGAGACTATAGCTCTGGACCCTCCTAAGACTCCAGTTGTTCTCTACCTCCCATTGCCTACTGAAATTCTGGGTGCTGCCCAGGGAGTAATCTCCTCAACAAATGCCTGTAGTGCCATGAAATTTGGTCAGTGGCCAAGTCCATTCTGGCAAGGGCAATATCCTTTGAGGCAGATCCCAGCTGGACTTGATCATTAAGGAAATCCTCAGGGTTTCATTTGGACCCATGTTCTATTCACAACAGTTGATTTATTAAGTTGGAAAAACACTATACCCACTTAGAGGGAATATCCTAAATGGATGGAGACATTGATAACCTGTATTTTTGCAGTTCAATATCCAAACTGGGCTGATATTAATATACGACTAACCACATTATTAACTCTTGAGGAGAGGTGTATGGTGTTAGAAAAGGTTAAACAAGAGGGTGGGAAGCTACATAACTTCTAGCCACAGAATCCTGTCAGGGGCCCTGGAGATCAGGCTGTGCTGGGGACAGATTCAGGATGGATCCAAATGATCCAGGAGATCAGGCTATACGAAATCATACGAAAGAGTGCATTATTGCAGAATTACAGAAAGGGCCCCAAAGTAGATTAATGTCCAAAAAGGTCAGGAGGTACATCAAGCTTCCAAGGAAAATCCTTCCATGTTCCTAGAACAGGTGTATCAGGCTTTTATTGCCAGTACTCTGACACAGATCCAGATGCCTCTCAGAATTACCACATTATTCATTTGGCTTTTATGAGCCAGAGATCCCTTGACATACAGTGCAAACTCCAGAATTGGAATGTGGGTTGGGCATGAACACTTCTCAACTTGTAGAGATTGCTTTTAAGGTTTATAATAATTGAGACCAGGGGGAGGAGTAGTAGAAGCAAAGAGAGATGAAATAAAAAACTACTCTGCTGGCTACTGCCTTGGGAGGCCTGCCATGATGTCAGTCTTGCCAGGTAAGTCACAGTGGGCCCCCAATTAATAGAAGGAGAATATACCAAGCCCTACCCCTCCAAGGGGGCCAACCAACAAAGTTGGAGCCTGAATCTTTACTGTTAGAAGGACAATCATTGGAAAAGGGAGTGCCCAGAATGGCCCTTTCAGATGTGACCAGAAAAGGCCCAGCAGATGTTAAGCACAACTGACAGTGATCAAGAATGTTAGGGCTCAGGGGCTTCATTGCAGACTGGGGAAATTCCTATTTCCCATGAGGAGGCAGAAAAGTGGGGGAAAGGAAAAGCCAGGGAGATCACAGAGTGGGCAGCTGCAGTGATCCAAGTAAAAGGAGGGACCCAGGCCCCATCCCCAAGATGCAGGAAAGTGGGGAAAAGGAAAAACCAGGGGGACGGCAGAGCAAGCAGTGGCAGGATCCAGATAAGGGGAGGGACCCAGGCCCCACCCCCAAGAAGCAGGAAAGCAGAAGAAAGAAAAGACAGGGGCATGACAGAGCAAGCAGTGGCAGGGATCCAGGCAAGGGGAGGGCAGAGAGGTTTCAAATAGTTAAGGAAGATGAATTTGTCTGTCAGTTTGTCCTACTGTGGTGTATTGTATGTTACTGTGAGGCTTGAGGCTGTGCCACCGGTGTTTCAAATGCCAGCAAGGTTGCACATGGTGCACAGGTTTCAATGCAGCTTA